GCGTGTGCTATTAGGGCGACCCTTTTTCTTTCTTCGCATAAAATCATTATGCCAGACAATTTCGCCTTCGTATGGAGGCCAATAGTCCTTCTTTGCCACCACCTGAAAGCTACTGCCATAGACATTGCATAGACTTATCACTTGGTGAACAACAGAAAGATAGTTGGTTGGGTTTCGGCGAGCCTTTGAACATGCTGCTATAACATGGGAGTAAGGCATACGAAATGCTTGAAACTTTCCACAGTCACACCAACTCCTATCCAGTTCCACTCGGTAACATCCCCTAGGCCTTCCTTCATTGTGATCAATTGACTCTGCAACACTGAACCAACCTTTATTACGGTCAAAGATTGTGACCACATGTGTGTTGGCTTTGGCAGCTTCGTCTTTCATGAATTTCATTGAACTATTATTGTACAACTGACCAGATTGTAATACTGAACCCCATTTTGTACGTCTGTTATCAAAGAGTTCCGCGAGTGTAAAATATGTTTCCTTTACCAAGGTAGATACCGGTAGGTTTCAGATTCCCTTGAAAATAGAATTCATTGATTCAACGTGGTTAGTTGTCATGTGGCCCCATCGCACCCCATTGTCGTATGCCCTTGTCCATTTCTCTTTATAAATATTATCAATCCATCTTAATACATCTGTGTTTGTCAGTCTGATCTCGTCACGATAGTGTTTGAACGTGGGCTCTGTTAGTGCATACCCTAGGGTTCACAACCTTCTTCCTTAGCGTTTTGTCTTTGATTTCCCGTATGAAATTTTGGGCGATATGTCTTATGTAATACACATGGTTTGAGGGAGGGTCTTGCCAACCGTTATCAAGATTCTTGTATACGTTCTCGATTGATGGGTGTCTAGCAGAGATCAAACATAAGTTAGGTTGGGCAAAAACGTATAAGCGGAGATTTTTTAGGAAAAAACTCCAAGCCCCAGCAGTCTCCCCTTCAACTAGAGCGAAGGCTATTGGAAAAATGTTGTTGTTCCCATCCTGTGCCACAACCATGAGTAGCGTGCTTTTATATTTCCCGTACAACCATGTGTCATTAACTTGAATAATAGGTTTATAGTAAGCAAAGCTTTTGATACATGGTTCAAACGCCAAGAAGAGTCTGTGAAAAATTCCATTTCCACTAACGCAAGTCCCGTCTGGTGTATACACCGTCATTGTCTCCAAGATGGAAATAGTCCCTGGAGAATATTGTTTAAGTGCCACCAAGTATTTCAGAATTTTTTTGTAAGACTCCTCCTAATTTCCAAACACCGTTTCAACCGCCTTAGTCCTAGCTATCCATGCTTTCCTGTACGAAGGAGTGTAATTGTATCTTTGAACCATATGCGAAATTATGGTACTTACCTTCAAAGAAGGGTTGTCGCTAATGACCGACATAATTTCATCACAAATCAATTGAGAGCTGAGCTTGTGATGGTTCTGCATTGGGTTTGTGATTATACAAGTGTGCCCTGGACCCATTAACTATATCTTCCATGAATCACTTCTCTTCCGGAAAGACGATGTTAATCGAAACAGGAACATCTCGTTACGATAATCGATCTTATACAGAGTCGGATTTGTTCGATCGACTCTATAATCTGCTGATAAGTCCATGTGATATTATTTTATTGCTTGGACACAATCTTCTTTTGTACGAAAGTTGTCTCCCTCTTTTAATAGTCCTTCTGTTGGCAAGTATGGATTGTAAAAAAATATTTGTTGAGGGTTCATCGTCACCTAAGTCTAGACTTGTCATATGTTGAGGTGAGAAATAAACATGATTGGATGATACTACGTCTTCCTCGTTGTTTACCATGTCGTCAATAATGACTTCAACTGCTTCTTCTTCTTTATCAATGACATCGACTTCAGCTTGTTCGTCATCAGATTCATAAAAACTTGAGAAAATCAAGTTGTTGAGACAATTGTTGTTGTAACGTAATATATAGCTCAATATCTGAGAAACCAGAATACTCATGACTGAGAAACATGTTACACACATCTTTATTGTCTCGAATCTTTAATTGGAAAAATTTGCATTGCTCGTGCCCGCCAAAAAACACAGGATTCTTGTAGATTATTTGGCCAACTGGACCACACTGTAACTTCTTTTCTAATCTCGCTTTCAAGTTTAAAAACTTTGATCTTCAGTCAATCAAAAACCTAGTAACGCCCGTATTTCGAAAATTGAAACCGGCTGAGTTACATTCAAAAACCTCACCGTTTAAATATGCACTGATCATGTATTGTGGTGTTTGAGGCATAACAAATACGTTACTAAACTCGTGTTTGAAAGGATTATTTTACTAATTGATATGCTAATAAACCAACTATCTCTATTGTATTAATAGCAATATAGTTGAGTAGTAGTGTATTTTTTTATTACTAATTGTGCACTCATCACATGTCTTGTCCTGATTTTATTATTTCAGTAATTAGCACTTATTAGTCTTGCAGGATATGGTTTTACACGCTTTCTTACCAAAGGATTCTCTGCACGACAAGACTACACTCTGCATGCCTACACTCTTCATGCCTACAAGATTCTCTGGACGACAAGACTACACTCTACATGCCTACACTATTAGTTTTGCAGGATATTGTAGTACACATGCCTACACTATTAGTCTCCTAGGATATTGTTTTACACACTTTCTTATTAATAAATGTCCATGTCATCTTGTTTTCTAAAAATGTTATTCAAAGAACTTAACACAACCTAAATTACAAAAATATTTTTATTTGTTAATAATTTACGAAATTAAATGAATAAATAAATATGTGATCATATATTTGATAGTTATTTACAAAACTCAACACAAGAATCTGTAATATGTGATCATATCTTTAAGACTACACTATATTCTGCATGCATAACACCACCAATATCTAGCCAAAATTATATTAAATATGCAATACAAGACCACACTTTATCAATCATTGACTATAAGATTCTCTGCATAACAATGACCAAGAATCTTGTAAAACAAAACTACACTTGCACACTTCCATTCACCGTTGTCATAAAAATTCAGCATGCATTAATACCCTAACAAAAATTATATTTTAAATGCAATGACTTCACTTTTAAGACCACATTTTACTATGCATGCTTGACAACACTACACTCTAACAAAAGTTATATTTTCACAACACTCTGCATGCATGATAACACTACACTCATGCAATGGCTTCACATGCATGACAAGACTACACTTATACGCTTCCCTGCACCATTGTCATCATGTTTCAGCATGCATTAATAGTGGTAGTATTCACATGCCTACACTATTACCATAATAGGCATACACTTTTAACACAATACTCTGCATGCATGACAACACTACACTTGCACACTTCCCTGCACCATTGTCATCATGTTTCAACATGCATTTGCATGTGACTCCTCTCATCATATTCAACCATTATAAATATATGTTCATCAAGAAACAAACTCTTTTCATCACATTACGAACTCTCCTCCTCAAACGTTAAACACAATCTTCTCATCACTCAGCAAACTTCATTCAGCAAACTTCACTCAACAAACTTAACCCACAATGTCTGTACTCACAATGGGCAACGATCATAGAGAAACAATTGAGAACATCATAGAGTTTGTAAGTATTTTGCTTTTTTTTGTCATTCTTTACTAAGTTGAATTTTCCTTTAAAACTAATGATATTTATATATTCTTTTGCAGAATGTATCAAGGTTTTGCTGTCGTGTGCATGACTACATACCACACGACCCATTCATAGAAGGATACCTAGAAGCATGTGGGTTTGGTGATTTGATAAAAATCAAATCGTACTCACTAGATCCCAAATTTATTCTAGCGATGCTAGAACGATGGAGACCAGAAACTCACACATTTCACCTACCTTTCAGTGAATGTACTGTAACTTTACAAGATGTTTACATGATACTTGGCCTACATATCAATGGTAAGACCGTCAACGGCAAAGTTGGTGTTAATGACCAACTTTGCAAAGATTTATTGGGGGCCCCTCTATGTGTCGAAACACCTCAGCCATAACGTAAAGGTCGACCGAGGGAGCAAGGTATTAATTTTCAATACCTTAGAGAACACTATAATAGTATCGTGTTAAATGAAGAATCCACCGAGTATGAGAAGATACTTAAAACTCGGTGCATATTATGATATTATTTGGTCATTTTTTTATTTCCAGAAAGTATTGGAAATAGTGTAAATATTATGTATTTATCGTTGTTGCACAGCATTAATAAAGTGTACACATATAGTTGGGGTTCAACTGCCCTCGCCCATCTATATATTTTATTATGTAAAAATGCAAAACATAGGGAGATCAGCTCATATATCTCAACTTTCAACGTGCCTATAGTGGCCTTACTAGAAACACGAGTAAAGAAACATAATGCTGACAGGATTAGAAAGAAGTTTAACGGAAACTGAAAGTTCGTCGACAATTACAATGATCATGACAATGGGAGGATTTGGATCTTATAGAAATATGATGAAACTATAGTAAACGTGATTAAGACAACAGACCAATATATCCATTTGGAGGTTCTTGGAATGGATCAATTGTTGCAATACACGGTAACAGTACTCTACGCCTACAATCAGCTTGAAAAGTGAAAATTGCTCTGGATGGAGATTGAAGCTATGAATAATACCATTAACACACCTTGGATAGTTATGGGAGATTACAATAATGTTCTCTCAAGTAAGGGTATAATTGGTGGGAATAATGTGACTGAAAGCAAATACAGAGATCTTGATATAATGATGCAATCTGCAGGTTTATTCGAGGCAAACACGAAATGTGATCACTATACTTGGTCCAAAAATTATGCTATTGGGTGTATTTACTCAAGAATAGATAGGCTTGTAGGGAATGCTGATTGGTTTCATAAATATCAGGACAACAACATCGAGGTATTAGCTCTCAATATCTCTAACCATGCCCCTGTAAAAGTGGGGCTACCTCAAGCTCAACCCAAAAGGAAGGCTATGTTCAAATTTTTAAACTGTGTTACTCAAGACCCCTCTTTCCTACAGACTGTTACAAACAGTTGGGGACAACATGCACAAGGTACTGCTATGTTTATATTGTGGAGCAAACTAAAAAGGATCAAATCTGCCATAACTCCCCTCATAAAAAAGTTAGTGATATCCAAGAACAAATTTGCACGGAAAGACGTAATCTTCATGAAGCTCAAGAATATCTCACCCAAAACCTGTTTGAAGAACAGGCTGTAGCCAATGTTAAGCAGTATACAAACTAAATTGTTCAGCTTAATCAAATTGAGGAGAAGATTTTGATGCAACAATCGAAAATAACATGGCTTAAATTGGGCGACAGTAATAACTCTTACTTCCACACTTTGGTTAAAGAAAAGAACAAGCAGAAGGGGGTTCACACTATCACATCTCTTCAAGGAGAGACACTATACCAACATAAAGACATTGAGAGAGAAGTTTTGAGTTTCTATACCAATCTCATCTGCACTAACGCATCAGAACTAAAGGGCATAGACATAGCTGCTGCGAGGCGAGGAACGACGATTTCTGTAGAAAAAGCTCTTCGACTTATAAGGCCTGTTGATGAAGGTGAAATTTGGAATGCTCTGAATTCTATTGGTAATTGTAAAGCTCCAGGTATAGACGGTTTTAATGCACACTTTTTCAAGACAACATGGTCTGTTATCAAACAGGATGTTATATCAGCCATACTTGAATTTTTCAGCACAAGCAGAATGCTCAGAGCAGTAAACTGCTCTTTAATCACTTCAATTTCCAAATCAGATGCAACCACTATCATAAAGGATCTGTGACCTAATTCTTACTGCAGTGTTATATACAAGTGTTAGATGTCAAACTTTCCTTATTTGAACTATCAAATGTGGACATCTTTCACTTCTTTTTGTAGAAAATGTGTTAGAATCACTCTTGCTTTGGTTGATTTGCACCATTATGTGAAAATATTTTGGTTCCTTTGATTTGTGTGTTATTGTGCAGGAATTAAGCATGAAATATTGAAGAGGAAGACATAAGAAAGATAACAAAGAAACCAAGTCAGCATGCAAACAACAGCAAGTTCGCACAACGAACTTGCTAGCGAAGCTTGCTAGAAAACTTCACAAAGTTCGCACAGCGAAGGTTGCAGCGAAGGCCAGGAAATCCAATGTACTATTCATCCAAAAAGAAAAGGGCCCTAAGTTCATTGTGCAAAGGAGGCAGCGAATAACTCGCTGGAGCAAAGAGGTAGCGAAGGTCTAGCGAACACTCCCAGACTTGAGGCAGTAGGTATTTGGACAAGAATTCACTGTGCGAAGTTTGCAGCGAAGCCTTCGCACTGCGAAGAATTCTTTGCATAGTGAACATGTGAAAATATGTCTGGGGAGTTTTCACAGGACATATGCACTTCAGGTGCCACTTTGACTGTTTGCTAGGTGAACACTTTGTTCTCACTGCGAACATGATAGCTCAGCAGCCCTTCTATAAGTACTTTGGGTGACTTTTTGACAAAAATATCTATTATTTTGTACTTTCTTTTGAGAGGATTTTCAGAGCTAAAAAGCTTGTCTCTCCATTTCTCATCATCTCTTAGCAATATTTCACAAAAGAAGGTGGATTCCCATCCAATCTCGATTATTCGACTCGGATGTTGATCAACCTTCTTCCGAAACTTGTTGCTCAAGCTATCATGGAAATGGGTGGCTAAATCCCTCTCTTGTCAAGGTTAGAGGTAGTTAGTTCATATTTTATGTATTCTTCTTGCTCTTTTGTATGTGAACAATGTTGTGATCAATATAGATGAAGTTATTTGCTATCCTTTGTACATCTATGGTTTGGATTGCTTTAGACATGAACTTTCCAAGTCTTGACCTAACTTCTTCATCTATCAACTATACAAATTCTAGACATAGGTTTGAAAGTTGATATCCGCTTTGTATTGATCTTAATGATTATTGTTTCGAGTGTCATTTAGAGAGATCATTTAACGGTCAAAACAATAACATTCACGAAATCGCTTTAGAAATGAACGTTTTTGCGAGGATACGCAATTATGTTGTTTAAAACTACGTTCACATATTTGATCGGTTGGATACGTTTAGGACGGATTAGCGAACCCTAATCTTGGCATGCTTTTATCAAACTTAAACTGAATTTCATTCCGTTTTATTTCTTGTAAACTCTTGTTACGAAAATAGAAACCATTTAAAAAACCCCCTTTCTTAAATCATTAAACCGTTGAACGACAAGCATCTATATTCTCATCAATCCCTTTGGATATGATAAAACACTACCGCAAAATACTTTCTAACAACAAGATAATTTCAAAAGTCCTCACAACAAGATTAGGGAAGGTGATTGACACGATACTGAATGAGAACCAATCCGCATTTGTTCCAGGCAGAATTATACATGACAACATCATGATGGCGCAAGAAATTGTTAGAGGATATAACAGGAAGAATGTATCACCCTGGTGTATGGTCTAGATGGACATTCAAAAGGCATACAACAATGTTGAATGGATTTCACTAGAGGACATCATGGTGGAATTTGGCTTCCCTCGAATTTTTATAAATTGGATTCTGGCTTGTGTGACTACAGTATCATATAGGTTCTCCATTAATGGGATTCCATTAAATCTTCTCCATGCTAAAAGGGGCCTCAGACAAGGGGACCTGATCTCACCACTTCTTTTTGTTCTAGTAATGGAGTATTTTAACCGAGTTCTTCAAGGTTTAGATGCGAACCCGAATTTCAACTATCACCCAAAATGTGATCGCTTGAAAATCATAAACTTATGTTTTGCGGATGATATATTGATGTTTGTGAGAGGTGATAATGAATCCACGAGACTAATTATGGATAAAGTGAAAGATTTTTCCGAGGCTACAGGCTTAACAGTTAGCATCCCTAAGAGTAAGATTTACTTTGGCGGGGTTGATGAAGAATCCAGGAAGATCATTCAGCAAACAACATGTTTTGTAGTGGGGAGTTCACCTATTAAGTACCTAGGAGTTCCTCTGGTCAGCAAAAAATTGACGATTAATGACTGCCAACCTCTGATTGAAAGAATAATGGTAAAACTAAGGCATTGGAGCACCAGATTATTATCCTATGCAGGTAGAGTTCAACTTGTAAAAAGCGTGATTTTTTCAATAGCCAACTATTGAATGCAGATCTTCCGGTTGCCTAAAAGGGTCATCTCCCATATTGATAGTATTTGTAGAAGTTTTGTCTGCTCTAGGAAGGATACCATAACGCGTAAAGCCCCCGTCTCATGGGAGCACAGGAGTGATCCTATATCTGTAAGGGATTAAATATCATCTATCTATGATATTGGAATAAGGCAACCATCGAAAAATTACTTTGGAACATGTGTGCTAAAAAGGACAGAATATGGATTAACTGGATCCACATGTATTATCTAAAAAAGGAGGATGTTGCAACTTTTACCCCTAAGCCTCATTGTTCATGGATTATCAAAGAAATGTTCAAATACATAGATATACTTATTAACTCTGTAGCATGGAATGAGTCCAATTTAAATGGCAGGTATGTAACAAAGAGGGTGTATCAGATGTTCAGAGGGGCCAAAACAAAGGTTGGTTGGAAAAACCTCTTTTACGGGAACCTTGCTAGACCTAGAGCGGCCTTTACTCTTTGGATGGAATTCCAGGAAAGACTTCCCACAAAAAATTGCTTGCTAAAGTTTGGTGTAACAACTGACGGAGAATGTGTGTACTGTGGGCTCCTGGAGAGTTGTGATCACTTATTTTTCGATTGTGAGGTGACAAAGAAAATTTGGAAACAAACTCTTAACTAGATTAATACATCCCATAATCCAAAAAGACGGGGTTTGAAGCTTCAGATCATTTGTAGAATGACAAGTGGTAAAGGTTGCAAGAAGAAACTCCTTAAGCTCGCTTTCACGGAAACTGTGTATGCTATTTGAAAAATTAGAAACCAAATCATTTTCCAGAAAAATAATAAGGATTTCCTAAGTAGTAAAGACATCATCGAGAAGATCCCGATTAGAACTGAAAACAATGAAAAATTAGCTAGATTGTGTGGTAGAAGTTAATATCCATGTCTTTTTGTTTTTCTTTCTGCCGACTAGATGCCTGGATCCATTGATCGACTTTGTACTCCCCATTTGTTTTTGGTAATATAAATCTTCTTTATTCCAAAAAAAGATATGCATCTTTTCAAAAGTAATATTTGTTTCAAGTTAGCCAAATGTTCAATAACACATACCCAACAAAAGACCAAATCTAGCAAAGCTCTCAACTAAATATTGAACAAAATGATCTTTGTTATGGAGCTTCGCATATGAGTGTGTCTTATATGCTTATCTCCACAATTTATCCAATGGAATTCGCATCCCACAAATAAATTAGAGACAATTCTAATAGCCTCCCTTATATAAATGTGACTCTGTGTCACGCCAATGTATTTTTCTCATTCACATTTGTATAGTTTCACCTCTCTTAATTATTAAATTGAGTGTTAGAATGTTAATCTTGCAGGTACCCCTCTTTTTAATCACCAAAGACCTCGATCTTCGTATCAGAAGTCTTTCCATTATAGTCATATTCAACACCTCATCCATTTTCCATTCCATTACGGAATAATGATGTTGTCACTGGGAATCGTATTTTGATTTATCATGATTTTTTCATCAAGTTTCTCTTTTCTTCTTTGTTGCTCCGTTGAAACCGTTTCCATTAGCCATTTTGATCATATTTATTATTTTTGTTAACTGTTTTGATCACTGGTACCTTTTCCTATTGTTACTCAAGTATGATCAATGATTTTGATGGTTTAAGATAAGGCAACATTAGTTCTCACTATAGCGAGTGATGAACCTCCTCAGAACTAAGGTCCACATGCTTTGATTGCAGTCCATCAAATGACTGCAACACCACGTCAAATCACAACTTATCGACTGATTGCTCAAGAGTCTCTTCCAATTCCTTCGTTCCAGCACCAGTTCTCATTTCCTACGCCACAAAAATATCCTTTTCTTCCACCTATCCTTGTGGCAATACTAAGTTAAAGTAGGTTGAGTTGAATAAATAAAAATTTCGTAGGTTCCATAAAATCCATAGCCACAAAAATGGAAAGTGCATTCACCTGAAGGATGTAATAGAATATTTAATTAATAAATGAACACTTGTTCGGTACACTAATAAAGATGAATAGAAAGAAAATTATAAGGGACATAGGGGTTATCCTAGAAGTCCAATAGACACAGTAAATCCTGTGTAGAAAGAGCTCTCTCTGTTGGGATGATATGTTGCCAGGAAGATAATTGAATTCCTTGAAGGCCCTGACAAAGGAAAAGACAACAACAAGTATGAGAATGACATTAAGAGAAATCAACCATTTATAGCTCCACCTATGGAGGTTATTATTTTATTGAATCTATCACCAGAAGATTCTTACATCCAAAGGTTTCGTGAGAAAAGAGATATGCCAGGATGATGGAAATTCAATTTCTGGAAGTCCATTGCAAAAGTGTTTATAATTGCATCTTAGGGATACCTTTTGTGGAAGCTCTGGATATAAACAATGATTATTTGAGGTATCATAACTTTCATGACAAACCAAAGATTATTTGTGCATATTTGGAAGGAGAACGTCGCTGCCATAAATCTTAACAAAGAAACTTAGATATGTTGCCATCCAAGAATGGAAGAAGGTAAAAGAGGTCAATTCTTTTAGACAGTAGCCTCTAGACATCAACGTCGTGGACTTTGATGTACGTGTTGAGAAAGTTAAATCCAAGGATGAAAATAGATTAGAAAGAACTATC